GTAAAATTAATTTTTCTACATCTGTGAAGAATGATGTTGGTATTTTAACAGGGATCGCACTGAATCTTTAGATCACTTCAGGTAGTATAGACATCTTAACAATGTTGATTCTGCCAACCCACGAGCATGATATGGTTTTCCACCTGTTTACGTCCTGTGCTATTTCTTTCCTCAATGTTTCATAGTTCTCACTGTAGAGGTCTTTTACCTCCTTAGTTAAATATATTCCTAGATACTTTATTTTCTTTGTTGCTATTGTGTGAAGGGAATTGGGTCTTCGATTTGGTTCTCGGTATGACTGCTGTTGGCGTATATGAAAGCCTCTGATTTGTGTGTATTGATTTTATATTCTGAGACTTTACTGAATTCATTTATCAATTCCAAGATAATGGTCGAATCCATGGGGTTTTCTAGATATAATATCATGTCATCAGCAAATAGTGAGAATTTGATCTCTTCTGTTCCCATTCATATGCCTTTAATTCCACTCTCTTGCCTGATTGCTGTGGCCAGGACTTCCAGCAGTATGTTGAATAGAAGTGGAGATAGTGGGCAACCTTGTCTGGTTCCAGTTCTAAGTGGGAATGCTTTCAGTGTTTCCCCATTCAGTATGATGTTGGCTGTGGGTTTGTCATAAATGGCTTGTATCATTTTTAGGTAAGCCCCATCTATGCCTATTTTGTTAAGCATTCTTATCATAAAAGGGTGTTGAATTTTGTAAAATGCTTTTTCTGCATCTATTGAGAGAATCATATGGTTTTTGTTTTTGCTTCTGTTTGTGTGGTGAATTATGTTTATAGATTTGCATATCTGAACCATCCCTGCATCTCTGGGATGAAGCCCACTTGGTCATGATGGATTATTTTCTTAATAAGCACCTGGATTCGGTTAGCTAGAATTTTCTTGAGAATTTTTGCATCTATATTCATAAGGGATATTGGTCTGTAGTTTTCCTTTTTTGTTGCGTCCTTTCCTGGTTTTGGTATCAGGGTTATGTTGGCTTCATAAAATGTGTTGGGGAGGAGTCCATCCTTCTTGATGTTGTGGAATAATTTCTGCAGGATAGGCACCAGTTCTTCTTTGTAGGTGTGGTAAAATTCAGGTTGAAACTGTCTGGTCCAGGACTTTTCTTTTTTGGAACGTTTTTTATTGCTGTTTCAATTTCAGTCCTTGATATTGGTCTGTTCAGGAATTCTATTTCTTCCTGGTTGAGCCTAGGGAGGCTGTGTGTTTCTAAAACTTTGTCCATTTCCTCCACATTTTCCAGTTTGTGTGCATAAAGGTTTTTGTAATATTCATAAATTATATCTTGAATCTCCACGGCATCGGTTGTAACGTCTCCTCTTTTGTTCCTGATAGAGCTTATTAGGGATTTTTCTTTTCTGTTTTTTCTTAGTTTAGCCAAAGGCACGTCAATTTTGTTTATTTTTTCAAAGAATCAACTTTTTGTTTTATTAATTCAGAAGATGCCACCCTTTTAAGAGTTTTGAATGCACCCTTGGTGGCCTTTACCTTGTGTCTCTGTATCTGCAGGTAGCCATGCTCACTATACAATTACATTGGCCAAATGGATTTAGCTGATATAAATATAATGGCATTTGATTTATCCCAAAACTATTTTCCTTTCACTTTCAAGCAACAGTAGCTGCCAGCCCCCAACTCAACCTCTCAAAGAACAATGTGACCCAGGCCGACTGTAAATAGAAGTAACAATGGCAATAATCGCTAACATTACTAAGCACTTTCAGGATGGCCAGCAAAGTCTCAAGCTTGTAAACAACAGGGCCAGAGTACAAACCCAAACAGTCTAACTCCAGCATGTATAAACTAACCAACACACTATGGCTGAGAATAATATAACTGACCCTCTTGGATCAAAGAGATGGTCAGTGATTAACACCTACACAAAAATGGGCCAATCAACCCTTTTCAACTGACACTTCTATTGGAGTTGGTGACTAGGAGTCTCTATTCATTGTGTCATGAATTAAAAAGAATAAATGTTTTTTTCTTGAAATAAAAGGTATATTTTTAATAAAAAAGAATAAATGGGAGACTTCAAGGTGCTATACTATTTATGTGACAAAGGAGCATCTGTATTAAGAAATAAGAAATTTTCCATATTATATCTCTATTGATATGATATAGAAAAACAGGTAGAGACAGAAACATGCAAAAGTGAGACTTAGCAAAATTAAGTCGTAGCGCCTAGAAGCCTTTTTTTCTGACTCCTGAACTAAACATTATTTTCCACAACTTGCAAGTCTTCCTATCATTATCAATCCAATAAATCTTTTTTTCATAAACTGGTTTTATTTTGATGCGTATTTGACAACTAATATAATCCCACATAATATGATGGGCAACTTTTATCAAAACTAGTCTAAGACAACTGATAAAAGAGAGAAAACAATACGATAAGCTGACATATTTTGTGGTTATACAGTTATAAATCACAGTCTTGGATAAAAATCCACAGAGAGCACTGTTCACAAGCCAAATGTTGCTAACTCCTTGTAGAAATGTTTTATAGAAGTGGAATTAAATATTATTGTCCCTTCCTGTAAGTAATGACTGTAATTGGAAAAGTTCTACACTCATGAAATTATTCTTAATGGCATAGTTTGTTATATTATTTTTTCTTATTTAAGCATTCACAATAAATTGCTCTAAAAACAAAAGAAAAACTAGTAAAGTTATTCTAATTCTTAATGGTTTGCTGTCATGATGACAAATATATAATTAATTTTTCTATTTTACACAGGATATAGGTAAAGTATAAGTTAAATATCCTGATAAATACAAAAATTAATGCCCCCATTTATATTATTTAATTCAATGTTTATATATCAGTTATTACTGTGTTCCATGACTTTCCTCTGTCATTTTGAAGGAAAAAAACCATTAAAACAATGGGCATTTGTGTATATGTGTTTTGTATATATATGTATATATATATATTTATATATACAAATATTGACACAGAGATACAAACGCATATGTAAGTACATACATATGTATGTACATTCCTATATTCACTTATGTGATTTAACAGCTAAAGTGATATATCATATTCTGTTTAAATAAGTTGGGCAGTGATAAATATCACAGTTATTTTATTTCAAGTGTATACATTAATATAGGACTTGACTTTAGTCCTTCCTTTGAATTATACCATAAGAAAGTGCATCAGATAATTACATAACGATATTATACAGAAATTCAGAGAAAGATTTGTAACATAAGAACATTATATTAAAAATAGCGTGAGTAGTTGTACTTCTGAGAAGAGATAAAAATAAGACAGAGAAGAACTAAAAAGTGAAATGTATTCTTTGGTAAAAAAAATGTGTTTGTTTCAGTTATAAATTGCATTCAGATCAATGTTTTTGAGGAAAGTATTTTTCTCACAGCATCCTTAAATGCTTGTTTCACCTGCTGGTTCCTTAGAGTGTAAATAAATGGATTCAGCATAGGAGCGACAGAGGTATTGAGCATAGCTACCCCTTTCGTGAAAGCAACTCCTTCCTTTGCTGATGTTTTCACATACATGAAGATGCAGCTTCCGTAAGAGATAGAGACAACAATCATATGTGAGGAGCAAGTTGAGAAGGCCTTTTTTCTTTGCTGAGCTGAGGGGATTCTCAGAATTGTTCTCAGGATATAAGTGTAGGAGAGAATTATTAATGTCAAAGTGGACATGAGAGTAAACAAAGCTAAAATAAAGCTCATGAGCTCTAGAGTACTGGTGTCTGTGCAAGAGATTTGCAGCACAGGAGCTGAGTCACAGGTAAAGTGGTCAATGACATTGGAGTCACAGAAATCCAGCTGTAAGCCCATGGCCAGAGGTGGGAAAATGACCAAGAAAGCAGCCAGCCAGGAGCCGATGACAAGCTGGTAACAGATCTTGTTACTCATGATGGCCGTGTAATGCAGAGGCTTGCAGATAGCCACATAGCGATCATAGGACATGGAGGCCAGGAGGAAAAACTCTGTTGATCCAAGGAAGATAAAGAAAAATAGCTGAGCTGCACAAGCATTGTAGGATATGGATTTGTCCCCAGTTAGAATGCTGATCAAAAATCTGGGATTACAGACAGAAGTAAATGAAATTTCTAAGAAGGAGAAATTCCTGAGGAAGAAATACATGGGGGTCTTCAGGTGGGGATCCAACAGGGTGAGAGTGATGATAGTTAGATTTCCAGTAACGCTCAGTACGTATGTGAGAAATAAAAAGAAGAAAACCACAACCTGTAGTTCTGGATTATCTGTCAGACCCAGGAGGATGAAATCTGTTATGAATGTTCTATTTTTCACTTCTGGTGGTTGATTTCTGTCAGATCTTACTAATAAAATTAACATGGAAAACAGTAAAACAGAGAGTTTAAAGACAATCATATATATTTACGCCAATTTTTTAAAGTATCCTTGTATTTTAACATGAAGCAGCTGGGACTTTTTAAATAGTCTCTCTCTATATTACCCATTTTCTATAATTCTCTCATATCTTTTAAGATATGTCTTCTAGGCTTAATATTGGTGTTTGCCACATGTTTACTCTATCTCCATATCTTACATTTAGTTTTGGGAAATTTACTAATTGCACATAAAGACTTCTAATGCTTCATTATTTAGCTAAAATACAGTAGGCATTATGTTTTTCTTATTTCATCTTTGCCAGGAATAAAAATTCTGATTGATTACGGAAATCAATGATCAACCCAATTTTGTAGAGAAAATTCTAAATGTCTGTTTCTGTTTTTGTGAAGTAGCCACTGCAATCTCTTTTAGTTTATTTCTTGCCCCTTTTTTTATTAAAAAAGTCAGTGTATAAGTCATTCTAATGTTATGTTATGAACATGTAAACAATGATTTATATAAATAGTATCCAATTTTTTTTCTGATACACCACACGTTCTATTTCTGGATAACACTGGAGCTAAATTTCTATATTAATTCTTGATTTTTTAAAAAAGAGGGTCTTTCATTAAAATATAATTAATATAGGGTTTTTCAATCGATTGTTTCAAAATCCCTAATAATAATTTTAAATGAAGTTAGATATAAAATAGCATAGTCAGAAAATATCTTAATGAAGTACATAAATACTTCATATATGAAAATCAGATATGAAACCAGCAAATACTTTACATATGTTATTTAGTAAATATCTTGGCCACCCTTACCAGTAATATGTATCAGATTTTTCTAAGCTAGAAATGTATCAATATTAAGGAAAGCATGCTGTATTTCAAGTATTTCAGATACTTACTAGAAATTACTATTTAAAATAGTTTCACATTTTAGTTTATTGATTTAACAATTATATACACAATATATATGAGACAGAGAGAGAAAAAGGAATGTACCAGAGGAGAGTAATCAATGTTGTATAATCAATAGAATAGAATGAATAGAAGCTGAAATATCACATAAAAATTAATTGAAAATACTTACCCATTTTAAAATTTTGATGCTTGGAGTTAAATATTGAACAGAAAATAATGAGCTCAACTCTTTTAAATCAAAGGTCATGGAGTGAATCAATACTACCTAGAGAAATAACCGCTTTTTTCTCTCCTCCCACAAAGTTGCAGATTTCCTCATAAAGACTTTGATTTTTTGTATAAAAAAAATCCAATGAAATAGTTTCCTCATGCTTTTCCCCAACATTGCCCAAAATCTTGAATCTTCAAATATTGTACCCACAATCTTAACACCAAATCTTTAGATACAAGTTTTGCATTATAAATGAAAAATTTCTAGAATTACTTTTTAATAGGCTATTCTGACATTTCACAGAGGACCATTTCCATTAATTTTCTATAGGAAAAAATTACACATAGCACCTTTAATGTGTTTTTCTATACATAATTTCAGAAATATTCATTAAGGCAAACAAATGCTTAATGACTTTTGGGGTAAACAATAATAGAGCACTAATGAATCCATGTGCAAGATCAACTTTGGGAATCATATTTTAATTGGTTGGTTATGGGACCTGTGTCTCAGGAGAAGACTGAAAAAATTATCAATTTCGATGTTAGCCAGGTATTTGGGGGAGGAGTGAGGCGTAGCGAAAATAAACTAACATTCTCTGTTGTTCATTTTATATGATCCCTGTATCATCCTTAAGACTGTGGGGAAAATCAGTTTAAAATAAGAAAGGCAAAGTGAGCCAGAGGTCTATGAAGGAAAAAGTACCTGGTATAACAATTCATGAAACAATGTTGAATCACTGAAGACTGTTGAGATATACCATTACATCTGAAGCTTACATAGGGAATGTTGCTCCTTTCATCAGTTGAGCTGAGTAACTAGTATTCATTTAAAATTAGAAGAAACTCAAATTTCACCTTTATATTTCTGTATTATTTTCAGCATATGAGTATAAAATCCCCAAAATATCTTCAATACTGTATGCAATATCTATTCATTACATATGAACACAATAGAGTCCATTCTATAGTGATTAAATATAATGCTAAAAAATATTTTTAACAGGTAGAATCTTTTTAAATTAAATATTCTTGTTTAATTAAAAAAATTTTTTTTTGAGACAGAGTCTCGCTCTGTTGCCAGGGCTAGAGTGCTGTGGCATCAGCCTCGCTCACAAACTCTCAAGCGATCCTCCTGCCTCAGCCTCCCAAGTAGCTGGGACTACAGGTGGGCACCACCACAACTGGCTAATTTTTTCTCTTTTTAGTAGAGACGGGGTCTCACTCTTGCTCAGGCTGGTCACGAACTCCTGAACTCAAGCTATCCTCCTGCCTTGGCCTCCCAGAGTGCTAGGATTACAGGTGCGAGCCACGGCACCCAGCCTATTTAATTTTTTTAAGAGACAAAATTTCACTATATTGCCCAGGCTGAAGTGTAGTAGCTATTCATAGGCAAGATCATAATGCACCGTAGCCTGGAACTCCTAGCCTCAAGTGATACTCCTGCTTCAGCCTCCCAAGTAGCTGGGATTACAGGCACATGCCATTGTGCCAGGCTGAAAAATGGTAGCCTCTTGTTGAACATACCGTATAAGTGAAAACCAGGATATTTAAGTTAGATTTTTAATAATGGTATTTCAGTAACAAAACTCACTCAGTAATTGATTTATTTATTGATTTATTGTGACTTTAGCACACCTGCAGAAACAAATGTATTAAAAATTTAAGAAAAAAAATCACAACATGAATCTTTTTGTTTGAACAAGATGTGTTTATGTGGTCTTAATATATATATATATATATATATATTCAAATGTTTATTTATGTGCAGAGATAATGACTGTTAACAATTTAAAGTACACTACTCCAGATATATTTCAGTTTTGGTAACCTGCCTTTGACATTTAGCAATATATTTTTAAGCATCCTATACCTAATTATAAATCTTCATTTGTCCCTAAGTAATAGTTAACCATTTAATATTAACTTAAACATTTACAAGATCAGTTTTAATGACTAAATATGATTTCACTGTATCGATATGCCATAATGAATCAAACCCCTCTTTGTTTAACATACCAATCTTTGAAAATATCTCTTATTATAAATAATATTAGAATGCATAGACATGGATATACATTTTGGCATTATTGTTCTATTACTATTTGAGTGTAAATTTCTTCAAATGCAGTTACTGGGCCACAACTTTGCATACTAAAATGTTCATACATACTTCCATATTTCTCTGGAGAACTATTTGTTACATTACATACTTTTATAAAAGTGGCTGTTTTGATGCCAATTTAGCATATGAAAGATTATACCTTTAATTCTTTCTAGTGTAATAGAGAATAAAATGGTGATTATGTGCCTATTCCAGAGATATTTATTGTATTTTGATAATGTATTACTGATTCCAGAATTTTTATTGGAGTTGTTTATGCTTCAATTTGATACCTGTATTACAGTTATTTATCTTTTTCCCTATTATTTATGGATATCTCAATAAATTTTCTATTTTTTATAAATTTTTAAGTATGTTTTTAAGGAAGAAATATACTATTTTTTATTTATATTTTTGCAAATAGACTCATATAAAAGAATCTAATGTCTATTTTAAATATGTAACCAAAACATATGCTAGTTAAACTTTTAATTTTATAATAAAGCATGATATTCATTAGGAAATTTAGAATGCAAATCCCATTTATTGATTCCAGAGAAGTTTTACTCATAATTAAAACATTAAGGTATCGCTTTTTGAAAAACTGAACACTCTGAGTTGTAAAATGCATGAAATAGTTACTTGATTTTCATATATTAAGAAAATATTGAATAATTTTAGTTGGGTAGACTTGGTAAAGTTTAAGACATTTCTTTACTATGTTGATTCTACTCAGAAGAAGGCCCATGTGACAGGAAATAAAATAGAGGGAATTTGTGAGGAGGAAATAATTTAAGTGTATATGGAAAGAAAGAAACTAGTATAGAGGTAAATGTACTACAGAATAAAATAAGAAGATAAGTTTGCTGTGAATTTTATCAGAATTACTTTTTTACATCCAGTGGTGGGATTGCTGTAATGTAAACTTTTAAAAATGTTTCTAGTTTACTGTGATATACATTTCTGCCTTTGTACCAGAGTAAATTATCACCATATTCCTATTTTTTTCCTTTGTTTTCATTAGGTTTATAATAAATATATTTAACTGTCTGCTTAATACTCAGTGATAAAGAGTTGGAATGTAAAAGTCAATTTCTAAATATCCCATTTGGTATTGTTTTATAGTCTGCATTGAGAATATAACAATTACTAATCCACATAAATTATTAGGGGTAAGTAAATGCAGAAACTCAGCCTAGCTTCACATATTACACTCAAATTCCAAGAGTTACTGATGATTTCCCTATCTGAAAAAGTAATAATTTACTGGGAATATAAGTGGAAACTCATCATGTCACTTCATAACATTAAATACATACTTTCATCATCCTCAAGTGTCACTCTCTTAATATGAACCTGAAATAGCCCATATTATTGGATGTAATGGAATCTAAATCTTTACTTAGTATGAGTTAATCTGTTCAATGAAAATATGTGTGTTTTTGTACCTAACCAAAAAAAAGCAGAGATTAGAGAAAAGTTGTATTAGTCAGTGTTCTCCGAAGAAACAGAACCAATGGGATGGATGGATGGATGGATAGACATATAGATAGATTGATAGACATATAGATATTGATTTATTATAAGAAATTGGCCCATGCAATTATGGATGCTGATAAGTTTCACGATCAACAGTTGGCAAGCTGGAGACCCAGGACCACTGATGGTGTAATTCCAGTCTAAATCCAAAGGTCTGAGAACTAAGAAAACCGATATGTCAGGTAGAGTCCGAAAATCCACATTTCTGGTATGGCTTGCTGGATCCAGGGTTGGAATTAAGGACTTCATCTTCCAAATACTGGGGTTTTGTCTTCTGGCTGCTGAAAGCTGCTTCTGATGGCCAGGATGTGGGCGTAGAAATTGAATGCCATTGTTTCAGAAAGAGCAGATTTAGAAAAGACATAGAAGAAATTAGACTTTCACATCAGGCTAAACCCTAAAAGAAAAATAAAAAACAAAACAAAAAGCAAACACCATGGAAGAAAGAGAATCTGATTTTCATAGTTATCACATTATAAGATTCTAATTTCAAAGTTTTTTTAACAAAAAATCGCAAGGCATACAAAGAAATAAAGTATACAGTCAAATTATCAAAATAAATCAACATAAAATATGTCTGAGGTAGCCCAGATTTTCTTTTTTTGTTTTTCTTCTAGTTGAAATTTTATTTCTTAATTTTCAGAGTTTTAAATTTCACATTTATTTTAGATATTTTTTCCTACTAATCAAATATTGTGTACTACTCGTGATTGTTTGAAAACTGTAAAAGTTGTGATTTGTCTTTGAAGTGTCCTTATGTATTTGGGCATCAATAAAATCGTGTTTTCTGATATTATGTACATGTTAAATAGTTGTGTATAAATCCTGCATTAATTTTCAGTAACTTCATGGATTGCATTTTTATGATCTCCCACCTCTGTCTATTTGATGGTGTAATTTTATGATAATATGATGTTATGAAATATAAAGCCACTGCATTTAATGTAAAAGCAGTCATTTCTAGTAACACTGCGTATAGCACTTCATTGGAGGAGATCTCCTTCCCCAACAGCTCCAACCTCTCACACTTCCTTTTTCTGTTTAGCAGGAAATGTATAATCTGAAAAGATGTAGATAAATATTTCTGATGAAGCAGAGATGGCAAAAAAGGAAACTGGACAGCTTGAAATAGTCCATTTTCACAGAATAACATTGTTTCTCAGCTACTTTTTCCCTGTACAGATTCTGAATATCCGATTCAATAGACTAAGGGAAGAACAGAGTCCTTTCTTCAAAAAATCACAAAGCACAGTTTTCTAAACTTTGAAATTATATGCCATCCTTTTCATTAACTGTAGGTTGCTGTGAATCATTTATTTTCAGGTAGAATTTGAATAGGCTATCTACACTTACTTGATTGTCATACCTCACAGTCTTGATATGTTTGATGTTTGAAATAGATGAACATAAAATGGGAAAATTATAGAAAAACAGGAAAAGATTAAGAATACAGGAAAATATTAATACATTTGAATACAGAAAAAAATAAAAAAATAACTTTTTTAATGACTGTGAAGTTTTTAAGTAGGCTATTTAATTTGAATTCTACCCATCACTGGCCTTTCTATACTGTATTTCCTTTTTTAAAAATAGCATTTATCAGTTACTAAAGTACTAAATAATTTACTATTATGTGACTGCTTAATGTGTCTGTCTTATTATTAGAGGTAAGCTTTACAAGGATGTAAACCTCTGTGTGGTTCATTACTTTGTGTATATCTATCATCTAGAATAATGATTTGTATTTGTTTGTGACTTCAGCTACAGATTTCACTATCATTAGTGCTTGTTTGATGATAACATTTTTTTGGTGCATTCCTTCAGGGCCTGTTTTACCTGCTGGTTCCTTAATGTGTAAATAAAGGGATTCAGCATGGGAGCAACAGAGGTATTAAGTACTGCTACACCTTTGCTCAGAGCCACACCTTCTTTTGCAGATGTTTTTACATACATAAAAATGCAACTCCCATAAGAAATGGAAACCACGATCATATGGGAGGAACAGGTGGAAAAGGCTTTTTTCCGTTGTTGGGCAGATGGGATCTTCAGAATTGTTCTAAGGATGAGTGTGTAGGAAAGAATCACCAAGGCCAAAGTTACCATGAGTGTGAATACTGCTAAGAAAAATGCCATAAGCTCCAGAAACTCTGTATCTGTGCAGGCAATTAGCAGCATAGGAGAAGAGTCACAGGTGAAATGGTCAATAATGTTGGAGTCACAGAAATCCAGTTGGAGGCCCATAATCACTGGGGGAAAAATAATGAGAAAACCAGCCAGCCAGGAGCTGGTAACAAGCTGGTTGCAGACTTTGCTACTCATGACTTTTGTATAATGTAGAGGTTTGCAGATAGCCACATAACGATCATAGGACATGACGGCCAGAAGAAAGAATTCTGTTGATCCCAGAAGGATTAAAAAAAATACTTGTGCCATGCAAGCATTATAGGAAATGGTTGTGTCTCCTGTAGCAATGCTGATCAGAAATCTAGGAATGCAAACTGTTGTAAATGAAATTTCTAAGAAAGAGAAATTCCTAAGGAAGAAATACATGGGAGTTTTCAAATGAACATTTGACAGTGTTAACATAATGATGGTCATGTTTCCACTTACACTCAGTAAGTATGTGATCAACATAAAGGAGAATATCACAACTTGTAACTCTGGATCATCAGTCAGGCCCAGAAGAATGAATTCTCTAATTGATGTCTTATTCGGCATGGCTAAGCTCTGAATTTTAATAGGTCTGTAGGTAAAAAGAGTGACTGTCAACTCATAATATGATTTCAAATACACTTGCAGTGTTCTTATTTTGCACAAATAACCTTAACAGGTGCATTCAACAAAAAGTGGCAAAACAACTATACAACAGAATTGCAAGCTCGTATCAGATTTAATTTAGCATTGAAAAGATTAATCTGATTTATTACTTTTAGAAAACAGATTTTAATTTCAGCTTTGATAATTCCTTGCTATATATTTTTGATTATTTAATTAACACACAGAAAGGTTTTTTTCCAGTTATGAAATGGTAATGATAATAAATATTTAGCTTACTTCATTGTGCTTGTGGAAGATTAACCAGATTACACTGTATTCTGAAAATACAGTGTAATTTTGAAAATGTAATGACCATAAAATTCAAATGCTAATTTTCTCATTAGAACACTGACTTTTGAGTTATAATTCAATATTTTTTGAAATTATTCTTGATTTCCATTCATAGCAAAAAATTAAATACAAAATACATATTTATGAGAAATTCATTGAAATCCCTCTTTCTTGCTGTTATGCAAAATTTACCCTCTTAGGTCTTCTCTGAAGTTGATGAAAATACAATGTCAGCCCTCATTAATGAAAAATTAATAAACGAGATCATAGTATACAAGTTTCAATTGGACTTCTCAATATAGTCAATCACGTAAACAATGAACTAAATCAGATTACTCACATTAAGACTAGATATATTATTTTAGAAAATTGTTGCATGACAACCTTTATCAAGTATGTTTGAAAAATAATCTGATAACTTTCTTGGCTTTCAAAGATGTGATAAGGAAAAGAAATATATTAGAAGGAAGATAATAACAATAATGATAGAAATAATAAATCATATAGCATAAAATATAATAAATTTTGTTTTCCCCTTCTTCTTCTCCTCCTCCACTTTTTCTTCCTCCTATTATAGAAAAGATCTATATAGCCTTTACCCTATGCCCAATCCTTAGGGTAGGCTCTACTAAGAGGCTCATTTTGCAGATGAGAAGATTGATGTACAGATGGGTTATGTTACTTGCCCAAGGTCACATGGGTAGTATATACAGATAGGGTGACATCCATGTTCATCTTTTACTGCACCACTTCCAGTGTTTAACACAGACTGAGGTTCAATTTTATTTGATAAGTAAAAGAGTGAATTAATGATTGAATAATGTATATGCTACCCTGATTAGGACTGGTATCAAGATTCAAAAGTGTGTTTTAGCTCTATGAGCTAAGCTTTGCATCCATGCATCAATTATGATGAATTAGTCAATCCCAATTGATATAGATACCAGTAGTAGTGTGTGCCAACAAAATAGGAATTTTAGGTAATGAGTGTCTTAAAATCCCAGTGAGGCAGATAATCAACACCTTAAAGATATTTACCCGGATTCCTCAGCATGATCTACTGCTTCCAGTACCAGAAAGAGAGAAACCAGGTTGATGATATTTGAGTAAACCATGAGAATAGCCTGACTTAATGAACAGAGTCAAAGTGTGAGGCATTGTGAAGGGCACAGATACAATGAAATGGTGTAGTTTATTCTGTGTCTTGTAGTAGTGCACTAAGTCATACCAACTAAGGTTTATCTAAAAACATGCTGCCTAACTCCTTCCTGAGGCAGGTGTTGTACACTTCTGAACTCAGCTATTACAAATATAGGAAGACCTTGGCAGAGAAAATAATGAAAGAATTGACAAATGCCTTCATGATGCATTTCAGAGAGTAATTGTTAAGAGTTCTATAATTTAGAAAGACAAATTAACAACATGAATAAAGAAGAAATATACTCACTTTTTTGTTATTCCTTGGTGGATTCAAGTCACAGTTTAAACCTAAATAGGTTTCTGATTATTTATAATAAGAGAAGCATGTGTTTTAGATAGAAAAGTCTTCCTTCAGTGTTACATCTTTTATCAGACTAATTCACTTTTGTACAGCTAACCAATTATTGAAATTTAAAGATTTCGTCTAGATTCCTCCTTGTCATAAACCGTCCATTTCTCAATCCAAAATCCAATCCGTGAGGATAAGAAAATCCAATCGGCATATTTTCAAAAAAATTTTTTTGAAGCCTAAACATCAAGTGTTTCATGACTTTTTTGACATTGCTCAGTGATAAAGATTTTCCAGAAAGCTTTTCTCCAAAAGAAACAGATAACTTATGTGTGTTTTTGAATATATTATTATAGAAGAGCTTGTTTTTGAGAGAAACAAATAGAACAGTCCCTGGAGACAGAAGAACTAGTGCATTTACAACACAATTAATTTTAGTAACATTTTAATTGGGTTCCCTTGGGAGCCATTAGCTATTGGAGGAATATAGAATTTTAACTTGCATGAAGAATAGGGGAAGATTGATGAAATAATGGTCACTTCCTTGATAATTTTTCAAATTATCCTTCTAATATTATTTTTTAAATTTCAAAATATTAAGGGGGTATGGATAGTTTTGGTTACATGGATCACTTTTGTAATGCTTGAGTCATGGCTATAACTGTGCCCATCACCCAAATAGTGTTCATTTTACCGTTAGGTAGGTTTTCGCCCATCCCGTTCTCCTCCCTCTCCCCTGCTTGATTTCCACAGAATTTTACTTCCCTCTCCGCACATGTGTGCCCATTGATGAGTTCCAATTTAATAACAAGTACATGTGGTGTTCATTTTTCCATTCTTTAGATACTTTAGTTTAGGATAATGGTGTCTAGTTCCATCCGAACTGTTGCAAAAGCCATTACTTCATCCTTTTTTATGGCTGAATACATAAAAGTAGTACTCCATGGTGTACATATACCACATTTTGTCATTCCACTCATGAACTGACGAGCACTTGAGTTGATTCCACATCTTTGTAATTGTGAATTGTGCTGCAATAAACATTTGAGTACAGGTGTCTTTTTGATAAAATGACTTCTGAAGATGGTTTATCAGAGACATCAGCTGCCAGATTATCTCATAAGCTTCTATTATTATTTTAAGTGAAGAGAGACTCATCTTGGCTCTCTAGTAAATTTCTATGAAAAAAATGAATTACACTGGAATGTATAGTAATTGGGACCTAAAAGAAATCCTAACCTAGAGATTCTACGGTACAACAAAAGATGAAGAAATAGTTTTACTAGATAGAGATGAGATTCTGTGGAGAAGAACATACAGTTTTAGCTGAGTGACTTAGTAAAGTATTATAGATTTGTTAAAATAAATATATGGCATTTGTGGATTTAGAAAGAATAGATAAAATGTGTGACCCAAGATTGGGTATATTATGGCTTAATTTTAGTTAGGTCATTAGCACAGTGTATTCAGGGCTTCATTTAATGGCAGCATAGGAAGGCCAGCCCTGTGGTCCATGCTCTACTATGACAATCAGAGCTAAAACATAATCTGTTACTTTTAATAATAAAGGGCATTTGTAGGACGGGAAGTCATGATTATGGCATACAACACTCTCAGATTAGCAGGCAGTGGTAAAGACTATATAGCTTGAGTCTATGTGGAGAAGCTGTCTAACTCTATAGCAATATCAGCCACAGAAACTCTGACCTTTGTATAGTGGATATACCCAATAATATTCAACTGAATTTTTTTTTTTTAGGCAAGACCAAATTCTTTACTTTACAATCATGCATGTGCATTCACATGTGTACAAAATGACGCACCCATAAACTTGTTAACTGCAGCACTGTCTGTCATAGCAAAAGTTTTGAAACAACTTATCTCAGAGCAGAGTACTAGTTGAACAAATTGATATTTATACAGTGTGATGTTCTTTGGTCAGAGAAAAAGAATGAGAAACCTCTTCATGTACTGATATGAAACAATATTTTGCTAAGGAGAAGGACTAGTATTTACTACCATTGTGTAAAAATTATGCGTATTTACAAATTTGCCTGCAAAAGCATAGACTAGCTCCAGAAGGATAACCAAGAAGCTAATAACATTGTTTGTCTCTGAGGAGGACAACCGGGTGGTTAGATGATGGGCTAGGAGGAAGGCTTTTAATCTATACCATTTTATGTCTTTCGCATTTTGAAGTATGAAACATATTATCTACTAATAAATAAATTAACTTAAAATTTCAAAAAAAGTCCTGCATTTTTTGAGGTTTACCCTTCTTGTTGGCTACATATTCAACTGAATTTTATTTATTTATTTTGCTTTCTTTTCTTTTTTAAAGGCTCACTTTAAAGAAAGCATACAGAACTGAATCTATGAAAAACATCCACTTGGAAAGAGTACTTTTGTCCATTATTTTAGAGTCACTCCTTCAGGAACAATTCATAAAAGAAAAAAATGGTTGAATTGACCATCATCAAACTTAAAAACTCATACTTTGGGTGATAGAAAATAGCAGAGTAGGGAACTCAAAGAAATAGTCTTACCACTAAAGAAGCCATTAAGTTGACAAAACTGACAGAATTAAATTTTGGGGACTCTGGAAGCTTACAGCAACAAGGGGAGTGCTTAATGAAGAAAAAGTTGGCTAAACTTGGGAAGAAAACATTGTGCTTTCCTGAATATTATTCCCTATTCCCCAGTACTGTGGTACCTTGGAATAACAATCTGCATTCCTGGTTTGGCTTCTTGGTGCTATGAGGCTAATACAAAGCTTGTTTTCAAAATACAGTGCTGTACATTTTTGGTTTTGTATTGTCACAAGTCTGGAGATTCCCTGAGAGACTGGTGAAGAGGTTGACCTCTATTTCACTTTCCTGAAGCAAGAGTGGCTTTCTAGGCAGCAGTGGTGGCTGTCAAAACTTTTTAAAAGAATATACTTTCCATAACTGCCTGGGACATGAAACAACATGTGGAGCACTAGTATGTCACTAAGACATACTCAAAAGCCTGGGAAAGGAGAGGCTGAGGAGGAAATTTCTTGGGGTACAAAGGAATAAAAGGGTCATCTCATGGACCATGAAAGCAGGAGTAAAACACATACCCGGGGCCAGAAACTTTCTTGAAAAAGACCTCAGAATATCCAAGGCTTGCACCTCTCACAGATCTGTAGCCTCCATGTAAGCAGAAGGTGAAGGTTAAGGTAGAGTCG